TCGCACATACATATGTACGATCGGGACGATGGCAGGCAGTATTATTTGCTGCAGTCGGAAATAACTCAACCGCAAATGAGATAAATTGCGCGCACACAGATAATTGCATGGAGGACCCCAGACGGCGTTGCGGCGTGGAAATGAAATACATTGCACATACGCCGCGTTGGTTTTGTTTTTTATTCGTCCTCTGCCCGTGTGTGTGTGTGTCGTCCCAAAGCATTCGCCATGTTTGTGGGCCTCCGGAGTGTGTGCGTGAGTTTCCTCCTTTTTTTCGGCCGCTGTGCAAATATTTATGTGGTTCCGCGAATTCACATAGTGTAATGAGAAAATATCGCGCATACGCCCTGCATGCTCATTAAAGTCGATTGTGTGGTTGTATTTACAAGGGTGAAATATATGTATATATTTGAGAGGTCTACGCCTTCAAATCAACGTAATTCCAGAGCAGGTGCATTTCTTCCATTTCTTGTTGCCTTTCCCCCAAGAACCTTCACTTAAATGCAATTACAGATATATTTCTATGTATTGTAATTGTAGTTGTGCACCTTTCGGCACTTGTAGTAACTTTGCACGAGTTTATACGAATTTATCAAATGAAAAACATAATATTTGCTTTTTGGGAATGGAGGGAGGTGGCAAAACTGGGCCGGGCGGTTATTTAAAGTTGAGTTTGAAGTAGATTTCGAAAAATTCGTTATCTTTATAGGATACAGTAGTATTCAGTATACATAATACACATACACATACATTTAGGAGAACGCGTAACATGAGTGTGTAATTGATTTAACTATAAATTTGATTTATGCCGCTTCAATTCATGTGTCCTTCGCTAAGATTGTGACTAATAGATTTAGGCTAATAATATGTCTCCTATGCTAAACACGATTCGCAAGTCCTTCGCTATCGCTATCCGTATCTTTGTCAATTTTAATTGAATTGTTGCATTATTGTCGTAGTTTACGTTAATTTATCTCCTACCATAATCAAGTGGATCAAGCATCTTTCTGTGCAAATGATTTGACTATCCCTATGTCCTCTGATATGATACGAATAATTGGCTGCTGGGCTTCTTATTCCCCATGCCCTTTTTTTCTTTTTTTGTTTGTCCCCTTTCCCCTGCATATATTACATACTCGCATTCGGCAGGACGATTCTCTATACACATACACACGAGTCCTAATCAGCGCGGAAGCGAATGTGCCAATTTGTAATTGTAATTTTTGGCAAGGCAAACAAATAGCAAACGACGAAGAAATAACAAATCCTGCTCCCTGCTCGATCGAAGGCTAACACTCGTACTCTAGGATGAATCCCTCTCCCCCCGCCGCTCCTGCGGCTGCCTGGGAGGAGGTCCTCGCTGCCGTTCCTCCCACTCCTCCCACTCCTCCTCCTCCTGGCCCAGTGGACGATGTCGCTGTGGCGGTTGCTCTGCTTAAATTTACTTGTGACAACATTGCGGTGGCCGTTAATTTGCCATTGTAGGCAAGGGCGGGTGTCAGCGAGGGTGTGGCCGTGGGCGTGGCCGCGCCGTGTCCGTAGTAGTTGAGAGCGGAGGTGAGCGGCACAGACTGCTGGCCACGTCGAAGCTGCTGCTGCTGTTTGGCCAAATAATCCGCGCTTGTATTTGCCGTGGCGTTGCGTAACGTTATGAAGGTGTCAAAGTTGTCGGCGGTCGAGGAGGCGTTCGAGGTGCTAGAGTTGCGGCGGGGTCCTAAGTGATGCTGCTGTTGCAGCCTGGGCGCGGTGGGTGGCGGTTGCAGTTGCAGCTGCAAGTTGAGCTTCAGCTGCTGCTGATGCTGCTGCTGCTGTTGCTGTTGCTGCGACATTGACGAGTTCGATGAGGATGAGTTTGACAGCGAGGAGGAGTTGACCGAGTGCGCGGGCGGGTGCTGCTGCTGATTTGCGTAGTATTTGCGCAGATTCTCCAGCATGTAGCGATTGTTTGCATTTCCGGTTGAGTTGACTGCCACCGATGTTGCTCCCGCTGCTGATGTTGCTGCAGCTGCCGGGGATGTTGCTGTTGCTGCTCCCGGTACTGCTGCTACTGCTGCTGCTGACGCTCCTAATGCCACTGGCTCCGGCTTTAGCTGTTGGAACTGTGTGGCTGTGGCTGACAAGGGCATTGGCATCGTTATCTGCTGCTTGCTGCTGGTGGCGTACAGGGCATCCGGCAGAGCCAAATTGATGACACTGCCTGTTGCAGGCGGCATTGCGGTTGCCGTGGCACCCGGCAGTGCAGCCTGCTGTCGCTCCATCTCCAATCCCATCTGCAGGGCGTATCGCGTCCTGCCCCTGTCTCTGTCCCTGTCCCTGTTTCTGCCCCGACTGGCTCCCGACTGATAGCTGCGGGCGTAGTGGGCCTCCATGAGGTCTGCCCTTCGTTGTCGCGCGGCGTACACTACTTCCTCAGGCTCTCCGCCTGGTTCTCCGCTTCTTCCAAAGCCGTAGAACTCACCCCGTTGATACAGGGACGAGGTTCCGGCCCTGTCGTAATCCCTGCGCGTACCCCGCTGCCGCTGGAAATGGTCCAGGTAGCTCTCCCCACCCACGGGCGCCCCTGCTCCGACTCCGGCCAGCAGGCCCTGGTCCTCCAGCGTCTCCTCGCCGACCTGCTGGCGCTGCAAGTGCTGATTGAGCGATTGGTAGAATGTGCTCTCGGCCAGATTCTCATTATACGATGTCGCACTCTCCGGCTGATGCCAATCAGCGTCTTCGCACTCGTTCACGCTGACACGGATGCGTATGTCGCGGGCCGTGTAATCGGGCTTGCCACCAGCCGCCCCATTTGCCACCTCATCCCCGTTATCGTCCACCCGTACAACCCCAAGCCCATCCTCCTCCTCCTCGTCGTCGTCATCGTCGTAGAAGAATCTCGCTGATTTGGCACTTTCCGCCAGCAGCAAGTCCTCGCTCTCCTCCAGGGCTAGGGCGTAGCTCGTTAGGTTGTCAAAGTAGTACTCGCACATCTTGTCCGGATGCTCGTAGCGCAACTTAAACTCCTTGGCCTCAGCCTCCTCCGCCTTGGCATCCGGCTCCAGCCTGTGGCCCGCCGCGGAGGTGGGTCCACTGAACACGGAGGCGTAGTCGGAGCTGCTCATCGAGTCCGATTGGAGGGTCGAGCCTCGAACCTTAGACTTTGCGGCAATGGGCAGGGTTCCAAGATTCTCGTAGTTGGCCCCGTAGTTGGCCGCCTGCGACTGACTCCGTTTGTGTTTCGGACGGCGGGGAGTCTCTGGAGTCTCCGGCTGTTTGGCCAGAGCCCTACGCTGCGCTCCACTAACCCTGCCCACCGAGTGGGCAGACTGCTTGGTGGTGCTCAACTGGTGGTCAAAGTTCTGCTCTAGGTAGGCATCCAGGTAGTGCAGATTCTTGCTCAGATCGATCTCCGACTTGTAGCTCTTGTAGATGGTGGCCTGCTTGCAGCGGGATTCGTAGCTGGAGATGTGCGCCCGATCGCTTATGAAGCGGAAACTCTCATCCTTGGCCAGTGTGTGGAAACCGCTGAACTCGGACCCGCCCATGGAGCTTCCATCCCCACTGCCTGTCTTGAAGTTGCGGCACTTGTCGCGTATCTTCTGGATTCCCTGGCGAGTTTTGGCTTGCAGCCTCTCGAAGTAGTTGGCCTTACCCACCGGAGAGGCGGTGTGGTTTAGTCGTGGATGGTAGGCGGTGGTGTGCTGAATGTCGTAGCCACCGCCTCCTGCGGCTCTCATGCTCTGGATGCTGTGCGTCCGATTTGGATAGCTCAGCTTGAGCTTGGGCAGCGAGGGCGGTTCCTCGGGTCCACGTTGGTGGAGCTTACGCAGCGACAGCTGCTTGAAAATCGCCCTTGACCTCTTGGGCTTACCAGTCGAGGTGGTCCTTCTGCCCGTCAATTCCGCGGATTCGTTGTCAAAGTCCTGCCGCTCGAAGCGACGTACTGGCACTCCGTGCAGGTAGTGATGCTCGGCGGGTGGATTCTGGGAGCGGTTCGTCTCGAAGAGTCGCCGCAGGCCACGTCCCTGGCGCTGGGGACGCACAGCTCGGGCGCTTGCCGCGCTGCGTAGCCGTGAGTTCACGTTGAGTGTGAGGATCTCGTCGTCGTGGAAGATGGAGAAGGGATTCGTGATCACCGTGGAGCTATCCCCCGTCTGATGGCTACCGGAGGGACTCAAACTGCTTACCGATCTAGTCTTAAGGCTAACGCTACTCCTAGGCCTACTTATGGCTATGTCTTGCTGCTTACTCTCTAGTACAACTACAACTTTGGCTTCACTGTGCTGCTGCTGCTGCTGTTGGGGATTTCTGTTTGGGTTTGGATGTGGAAGGGACCTGATCACCTGACCCAGATCCGTCTCGGATCGGGAACGGATGCGGGTTCGCTGTGTAACCGCTTTCCGGCTGCTATGCAGCTCCTTCAAGGAGTTGCTTTGCTTGCGAAAACGGTAGAACGGATTGTTGATGCTTAGTTTCTGGAGCAGCACCTGGGTCTCCTCGGGCGTTAGGGGACCAGCAGGCAGTAGCCCCGCCGCTGGCTCCTTCTCCCCTGCCCGCTCCCCGGCGGTTACATTCAGATGCAACAGCTTGGCCGCCGCCTGGGGTTTGATGTCCCTATTCATATTGTTCTCTAGATCCCGCTTGCCACTCTTGCTGCTGCCACCACTGTGGCTGCTATTGCTACTGCTGCTGCTGCTGGCGGTACTGCTGCTGCTGGAGCTGGAGCTGGAGCTACTATTGCTCTTGGCTGCCGCCTCTAGAGGATTGCTACTATCGCTATTGGTCAGGACAGTGGTCGATGCGGAGCCCTTGTCGTTGTTGTTGTTGTTATTGATGTTAATGTCTAGGTGACCCCCATCGAGTGGCTGTTCGGTCGGTGAGTGTGTCGGTGTCTGTGTCTGTGGATGCTGTAGTTCGTGTTGTTGTGTTTGTTGTTGTTCTGGTTGCTGTTCGTCGGTTTGGCTATCAATTGCCTGCTAGACTCTAGTGGGCGGTTGTAATATCATTGCAGCCATGCGTACCTTCATTGCCTCCGGCGATCCATGTCCCGGGTACTGTTGCTGCGGATGCTGCGAGGCTGCGTGGAGAGCGGCGGCCGCAGCCGCTGCTGCCTGCTGCTGCTGCAGCTGTTGTTGCTGTTGCTGCTGCTGCTGCTGCTGCTGGTGGTGATGGAAGCCGGCGGGCGTGGTGTAAATCGAATCACCTTGAGGGCCACTCGTGCTATCCGAACGTGATTTCAAATCAGCTTTCTCGCTGCGGGCGACAAAAGAAAACGGGAAGAGTGTGAGTGGACCGAATCGTTATCGAAAATTGTTTGCCCAAGTGACAATTGTGTGGGGTGTGTGGGGTGGAGCCTAAGTGGTTGGGCGGCTGTTATCGCTGATTGGCAAATTGTATCCCTCTCGCATATCTGAATATCTATTTAGTTTTTGTCGCCGCCTCGCCGCAGGCCACTGTTTACTTTGGAGCCTGGGAAATTAGATATTCCCTTCCAAGCCTCCCGTCCGAGATTGGGCCTAAATAAGTGAGTGTGCGGCACACAAAATGAATTTTGTGGAAATGCGGTCGAAGCGTACTTGAAGCGGAAATTCGAAATCCATTTCCGTTCTCCTTTCCCCATTGATCTATGCTGTGGGGCCTGGCTCTGAGCAGCACTCGGGTGGTGTATTGTTTCATAAACGAAAAATAGTAATTTTAAACTCCTAAACCAGTAGCCAGGAGGCGAGTGGCCGAACAACTACCGCTCATAACTCATATTGCACGGTAGTCCCAACAACAACAACAACAACAATGAGCGATGGGCTGATGGCCGTCCCCCTTTGCTGTTATTGGAAAACAAAGAAATACCCGAAATACTCTTAAAAATTTGAATGGTATAATACTCGTTATACTATACAAGTCATAAAGGATATTTCGTACCCTTATAATTCCATTCAGTAGCTTTTAACCATGTGAAGGAGTCATTTCCGACCCTATAAATCACAAATATTCTTGATTAGCATTGAAAACCGAGTCGATCTAGCTATGTCCGGAGGAAAATAAATTTTTACCTAGTTTTTGAAAAATTTATAAGGGGTTACCTCGTTCAATTTTGAATAATTGATAAAAATTTGAATTCTTTTAAATGGTGCAGTTTTATTAACCCAACAGAATGTAGCATAGAAAAGCTATCCGATTGAAAAATAATGCTTTTTTGGCTTAGTTATGATCGATTTTCACTGCAAGAACAGAAAAATCGTGTTTCCGAAAATAGCTTCCCTTCTTGCTCTATATAAAACCAGTTTATAATGAGATTTAAAGATTTGTGGTATATTGTAGGTCTACTAAAAAGACTTTTTATTATGTCGGCTAAGATTGTTCTTGACTGTCTAGAAATTACTAAATGTGAGATAATAATAACTATAAGCTTTAATCCTTGCAATCATATACAAAATTTAGGAGAGCGAGTACAAAAATACAAAATCTGACTTAGATGCTTCCTAAAGAACTACAAATGACATTATTCTATATCACTGGGTATATATTTAGGATACTCCCCAAGTATATATCGAAGTATCTGCTATATTCCATTTATAGTGAAAGTAGCCTATAATGTAACTTTTATTCTGAATATTTCTGTATCCTTTTGGCAGCTATTTAACTAAACCAAAGATAATTCCGTAATGGCACAAGTTGTCCCCGCCTCTAGTTAGGGTATTTTGAGTTTCATTCTTTGCCAAACAAAAATATTCGTTTGCCAAAAAGGCAAACCCATCTCCCCGAGTTCAGAGACCGTGTGCATATATTGAATATATGAAAAATGTAAAATATTTTATGTCCTGCACACACGCACACATACATCACTTAGAGGCACACGTACATATGCATGGGGAAGCATTTTTCATTGTTCCATTGCCCCACTGCGAATGTGTGGAGTGTGAGTGTGTGTGAGGAGGTGACTGAGTTGCTGCATTCGGCCAGTAGGGGCGCATAAATTGGCACGCCAGCGCCACCTGTTGGTGGCGCTGCATAAAAATATATCAAAATGGTCATTTATCTATGGTCCTTCCCCACCCTCCCTCGGGGTGTGTGTTTGTGTATGAAAGGGGTGAGTGTACGTATTACGCTTCAACTTACCTGTCTTTATCCGATGATTTATAGCCCGTGGATCCTGTGCCATGTGAGAGACGCGACGCAGGAAGAGAAAATGGGAGAGAAAAGGATTCATATTAGAGTTCGCATTCGCAATATTCAGGAATATAAATTCCGCCCATTACTTTGTAAAGGGTGCGGTTCTTGTCTTGTGTCTTGGTTGCAAATGGTAGAAATTAGCTGTGAAAACACCTATGGCAATTTACAAACAAACAGGACAAGACAGATATATATATTTATAAAACTCCCCCCGTGATAAATGAGGCAGGAACTTATTGATTGCTAAGAACGTGCCATCGAATTTTGATGGATCTCGAAGGGGTGAAGGACTCTCGGCTCTCTGATATAAAACATATAGATGTATCCCTGCAGCGGGTCACAGTTGAGAGATCTGTCAAACGGCATTTGACAACTGGAAGGCAGCTGCACCAGTCAGTCAGCCAGTAAAATTGACAGCTTGATTGACAACTGAGAAATTGCGATTAGGTGGCTGCCTCAGTTTGAAGTGTTTACAGATCATCAGATGGAGGGGTTTTGTCTCAAATGTCCTTGGGCAATGGCAACGGGCAACGGGCAACTGGCAACCGACAAAGTTTCCATTGCTCCCTTGCAAATTGTTTTACAATTGTAAAAAGTTTCGCCGCTTTTTGTCTGCGTTTTGATTTCTAATTAGGCATCGCCCTGGCTTAGAGTCCTTTGCCGCAGACATGGTTTGGAAAAAGAAAATAAAATAAAAAGCACGCGAAAGGGGGAATCGTTGGAGCTGCAAACAAAAAGCTGGCTCGAAACCCTTAACCCCTTTTGTTTGAGCAGGGGGAAACAGGAAACGGAGACTGACCGCAGGCGTTGGACGCTAATGAATATTTTATGAGATTTATTTGAGTTTCAAGTTTCAAGGAGAAGAGGAAAAAGCAAGCACAACACACACACAAAGCCTGGAAGAGAGACGCATCTATCCTGGCAGCCATTTTTTCCGCTTTCCCGCCGCAACGCGCCGCCATCTCGCATTTCAGCGCTTTGTGAGCTGGGCAAGTTTTTGTGTTTTTGCAATTAGTGCGACAGCGGTTCGGCGGTAAAAGGGCCGAGAGAAACAGGCGTCATAATGAAGAAGGAAGTTTTAATTGTCGCGGCCTTGACAGGGACGTTCTGCAATTAATACGGCAACTCAGACTTACCCTTGAAGCAGCATCTCTTGCTCTTGATGGCGTAGATGCAGAGGCAGACCAGTAAAAGGATGGCCGCCATGCAGCCTCCGGCGACGCCCATCAGGTAGCTCATCTCGTAGGGTTCTGTCCGGAAGTTCCATTCAACGATTTGATACATGGATTGGTGTATTCATATTCATTCCGATTTGGTCGAAGTGATGGAGTTGGAGTTATGCAAGCATTAAGAGGAATTTTCATTTTCATATGTAAAAGTTATGCTGTGCAATATACATATATGCACTGCACGTGTGATTGATTTTAATTAAAATCGGTGGGATTCGGTGCAAGGGATGCGATAATATTTAATGAGTTTAATGTTTCTGAATACTGGGAAAAAATAGGCTTTACACTTTAACTTTAGTTTGCTCTTGGAGAGCGAAAAATATAAGAAAAGTTTTAGAAAGTGCTTTGAATTATCATACATAACAATGAACAGTGAAGTGTTTTTCTAAATTTATAAAATTATGTAGAACATTTCTAGTATTTTTAATTGATTCATAAGGAAATTACTTATAGTTAAGGTTAACGAATTGAAATTATTCCAAATACAAGTATTTTAATATTGAAAGTTCTCAAAATAATATCCTTACTGCTTCCTTTTTCCAAGTGAAAGCAAGTGTGGTGTAAATATATGTGATGAGCCAGAAAGAGTTTAACTTAAATGCGAAATGCGTGCAATGCATGTACGATGAGTGCGGAATGATTACGATTATGCTTTTGATGGGGGTCAAAGAAAATCAAAGAAAAGTCTATGCACCTGCAAACGTACCCTCCACAATCAGGTGTATGGCATGACGATCGGTGCCCCGCTCGTTCTCCACCACCAGGTAGTAGGGCCTGGAGTCATGCTCGTCCGTGTGAAGGATGTGCAGTGTCGATAGGTAGCAGTCCTCGCGGGTGTCCGGCTGCACATCGTCGGCCCGGAAGCGATCTGTGGGTGGCAAAAAACGGGGGCGGATTTTGTTGTTAGTACAAGCAAATGCTAGTATGTTAGCTGCCACTGCGAATTGGCTTCGTGGGCTAAAAGTAAGCGCACTAGAATTGCACACAATTTGTCGAGGTCCGGACATTAATCATTCGATTCGATGGGCTAACTAGCAAGGAAAACCAATGGAGCACTGCGATTGAGAGAGGGTAATAGAGAGAGAGAGAGAGATCAGACGGACAGAGGGAGCTGCGTTTGATTTGTGTCAGTGGCAGCGAATGAACGCAGGATTACACGCACGAGAGACGCCCAAGGATGGACACGGGCAGACAAGCTGAAAATGAAGAATAATGCGAGCCATAGACCCAAGGACTGTGATGCCAGACTGGCTTTTAGTATATATACGAAACAGAAGGGAATTTCAGCAGTTGAAAGGGGTCAATTTAGGAATAAATACCTTTTACACTACGTAAATTATTTATAACCATTTTAAAACAAAGAGTAAATATTATAGTTTTCATAGGCTCTGCTCTGCGAGTATCCTGCATAATACACTTATAGGTAGTTTACTCTGTTTGTTGGCTATAAATATTAAATGCCAAGTTGGCAACACTAGCCAGCATGGCTGCAGTTCAAGTTCAGGGTCTGGGAGCCGGGCTGCATCTGTGCAACGGATGCTCATCCAAAAAAGCGTTTCTGCTGGGGGTCTGTGTTGCCTGTCTGTTGAAGCTCGGATTACCGGCGGCTGACAGGCGTGGGAAGTCTGCTCGAGGCAGCCACAAAGCTCCCTCCTTTCCCCACTGCCATATATATTTTTTTTCTCTTCTGCACCCCCCGTACCCTTCCGACGCGGACATGACACTGGCAGTTTCTTGTCCGACTCCGGCTCCAGTCGGTCATGTAATTTGTCTTGATTTGCGGCACAGCCCCTGCCCCTGACTAGCGATCTGCGGGAAGGGTTAATCTAATGAGCACTCAAGCGACCGCGGCAGACATCCTGCCTTCTGTAAGTCGGCGCTAATTGAATTCCGAGTAGGCAAAACTAAGGCCTGGCGCCCCTAATTGCATTACCATTAGCGGGCCGGCCAATGGGGCGGATGCAGGCCGCCAGGCGGTAACTGCCTGTCAAACAAGTATACGCACCGATGCCCGAGCCAGCCTCCAGACGCAGTGAGCCCCATTCCCAGGCGACGCGGATGGGTCGCGGATCCGCACAGACGACCATTGTTAGGCTGGCAGCTTCGTTCCTCTTCACGGAGACGGTATGCAGCGATGGATGGAGGCGCAGGACCTGGGGAGCACCTGCAAGGACAAGGGAAAACAAGGTGAAATATGCATGGAAAGGAGCCACGTCTAGTCTGGTCCGATGACTTTTTAATTGATGACCAATGCAATGCCAAAGATAATTATAAAAAGTACTTAAACAGGGTTTCCTATTTCTTTTCTCTCTGGTAATTGCTTTTAAGGTAGCCTGGCAAGCTATGCAGGTCCAGAGAGTTCAGTGATATTTGCTTATTAAATATGTAAAAACATGCTTGTATTAAAAGGCATTTAATTGCATTGCATTAAAAGTAAAACTATCGATTTTTTGTTTATGTTCAGCTTTAATTAGCTTACTTTGTGTAATTATTTTTTATTATGCAAACCTAGTGCATAAAAACTTTAATTATTTGTATCCAATAGTGAGAGGAGGGGACTTTCCCTATGACCTTTACTAGTTTTTTTATTTCCCGACACTCTGGCACGCTGTCGTAGTTAGTTAGTTCGTTAGTTACTTGACACACAAACACCGGGACGTGAAAATATATATATAAATGCGGTGAGGACTCTTTTTTTATACATAATGTACATGGTCCATGTGCAGTGTTTATTTTTGTGCATTTTTTCGTCGCCGACTCTGCTAAATTGCTCGTGTCCTTGGTTGGTCATAAATTATGTACGTGCTGTGGTATTCAGCACTAAATTTAAATATTTCTTGCTGCTCTTTTTAAGAGTTCCTCCGCTGTGTGTTATTTTTTGTATTTTTTTTAGTTCTCTGTCCAGTGCTTCGCCCTCGGCAGTTGAAGCTCCGCTCTTTTTTTATTCCGCTGGCGCTGCGGTCATAAGTTCATTTTGATTTTGTGTTACGTTTTGGCTTAGTCCGTTGCCCAGTTGCAAGTTGCCAGCCACCGCGAAATTGTGTGGCCGTGGCGGGGAAATCGGTGGGAAAGCGGAAAAGCGCCGTGGAAGCGGGAAATCGGAGGGAAGACAAGAAGGTGGCAACGCAAGCGCTTAAAATGTTTTGCAGGCGCTTTCCGGCTGCAGCTTTTAATGGAGTTTTGTTAGTTGTTTTAAGTGTGCATTAGTTGCACGGCAGCGGCACAAGGGGCGGACTTAAATGAGTGGCCCGAGGCGGAATCGTTTGCTTCTTTTTTCCCGGGTTGCGTTGTCACCTGCTCTGGTCATCTCCATGACACTGCTCTGGTGTTTCCATTCTGGTTTCGGGGCCAAAATTGACATCGAAAAAACTAAAAGCAAATGGTGGTGGCAAAAGGAGATTTATGACCGCATACATGGTCCGTTCCTTAACCCCGAATACCCTTTCCAGAGATTCCAGAGCATGAAGTCTCTCGTGCTCTCCTGTTGTAGTCATATTTTGTGCCACTGCGGTTTTTTAGGGCCACAGGACATGGGCAGAGCAGACTCTGCAGATAGGAACTTACCCACAACTTGGAGCGACACCGGATCGGATACGGCCACTCGCTCCTGGCCATTGATGTAGCTGGTGGCCCGGCACTCGTACTCGCCCTGGTACTCGTAGGTGACATTGTCAATGACCAGTCTGGACTCAAAGCCCCGCTCCATGTACTTGGTCCCGCTGGACATTCTGCAATGCGAAAAAAGAATTCAAATCAGTCGAGTGTCTGGATAGAGATTTTGGCAAACAAATGGAGTAGTTGCAAGGGCAAAGATCCAAAGTAATAGTGATTAAAAGCGGTGCTAGGTACTCTAGAGATAACCTATTATCTAGCATGTACTTTAATTAATTTATTTTATATAGCATAGCATATATAGCAATTATTAAATACGTTCATTTGAGGTTAGAGGCAATTGGTTGTCATTATGCCTTTCCGTTAGGAAAGGATTCTATCTGTTCCTGATTTCACACACTCTTCACTCTTCCCAGCTGACTCTTTGAGCTGCTGCGAACCGGACAAAATGAAACTGATGCATATAGTTGGCCACATTCCCCTTACTTCCAGGATCCCCCCATGTGTCATCCCCTGCCTCCAGCCCTCTCCCCGATGGTGCAGTCCTTGCCTTGGCAATGTTGAAAATTGCGTATGCGTATGAGTTATTTTTCGGTGCAGGCTGCCATCGCCTCACAGAGTCACAGAGGCGTACGGGCCACAGAGAGCTCGTTCACAGAAATATTTGATACATTTTTAATATGAGAAATGCCTTTCAAGCTGCGAATGCTCTGGGCCAGTCCCTCTGGGGCCTCGGCTCTCCCACAGATTCTTTTGAGGGAGCCGCAAAAAAAGGAGCATTCAACCGATACACTCGTTCGATGCTTCTTAAAGCACTGATATTTAAGTCGCTCCTCTGGAGCCAGCAATTAAAAGCAATAAATTAGAAAGCCATTCAAATGCAAATCGACAAAGTCGAAAAAGTTTGGCAGACGAAACGGAGCTTCTCTTTTTCGCTGGCTTTTCTGCTCGAATCACGTAAATCAAAGTGACAGAACTCCGTGTCCTGTCCTGTCCTTGGCTGCCTCATTTGCAAGGCGTTCCGTGGCCCCCACTGCACTTGCAGTCCCGTCCAAGGACACCTGGGGGAGGAGATTAAGAAGCCATGGAGCATACGTTGCCCTGTCAGCGGCTCACTTCGTGGCATTGATTTATTACCAAGAGGCCCCATTGGGCGTCTCCCGCTGTTTACTCAGCACGGCACGCGCCATTTAATGCGGCGGCAGGGGAGGGAGGGGGGGATGACATTAAGGGGGTGGCAGGGTGGCAAGGTAGTGGGAGGAGGGGTGTGTATTTGGAGAACATGCGTGGAAATTAGTTTTCAACAATTGACATTTAATTTCTGATAAACACGCGCGCGTTTGCTTCATTAAGTCAACACGTCAATGTGTTGCATGTGGCATTCGTTATTAGATGGCGACACCTTCGCATAACCACCTACAATGGCTCCGTTCTCAGTCTCAATCCCCATCCTATATATATATATATGGCCGCCCGATCACGATCTGCCCTGGCCGTGTATGTTTTATGTTAGCCCGATTGTCTGGGGGGCAAGTGCAAACAAATGGAATCACAAAAATCACGTACTTACGTGGCGGCGTAGAGGGAGAGACGGATTGCCATAGACAGTCATACGAGGACGAAGAGTGTTTCGGTTTCGGTTTTTCCGCAGGATTTGCCTGCTTTGCATACTAATGCACGATGCCATCAAAGGCGAAAGAGGAAACGGAAGGAGGCTAATCCAGCACGCATTATGGATGCTTTCTTGCTACCCTGTAAAATGCTGGGTGTATGCGATGGTGGGTTCATGAAATCGCACAAGCTCCTTGAAGGAAACCCTCTGAATAAGCTTCAATTCAATTCAAAACTGAAATCTGATTAATTACAGGGTACACCAGAGGGTGTTCATCAGAAAACTGACTTTGTTTCGAAGTTGTTTTCCCTTGGTTCAGACAATTTCCGTTGAGCAGCTAATTAAAATTACGCGAAATATCATCAGCTCTGTTAGGGAGGAGGCCGAGTGCCTTGTGAAAGGAAATGTGCAACAGGAAATGTGCCCTCGTAGAAGGGAAATGCTGTTCTCACAGCCAGTCAGCCATAGCCAGCATTCAAAGGAAAAGTTCTCGCTGGAAAGGCTAAATTCAACTAATTATTGCATAAAGTGCAGCCATTCCCGCATCTTCACAGTGCTGAAAATATTGCGCATACGCCGCGTGAGCCGCGTTTAATTAGCTTTTGCCATCCGGCCGACAACAATGGTCGGTTTGCCAGGCCAGGCCAGGCGCCGGTTCACCATTGAGCCATGTCTTTAAGTCAAGTCAAGCCAAGTTATAAACTGAGCCAAGAGGCCACCGAAAGTATGCAATGCAAAATGCTCAAGAATTGCCGCTCGGGCAACCGCAAATGGGATAGGTACACACTGTAATTATTACAAACTTTGTGGCAACAAAGAGTTGCTCTTAGAAGCAAGAATTCTATACTTTAAGATCAGCAGAAGGGATATACTTTAAAGAACACTTGGGGAATATATCTATCTAGATGCTAAATTAGTATTTGCGTAACTTTTCTCAATGTTCTAATTTGAAACTGCTTTTAATATCTACCCAATCATTCCCTCTTAATATATTTTTACCTTTCTCTGAGTGTATAACTATTCTGTATCTGAAATCAGACTTACCTCTGTACCCATTTGAAGGATGGCAAGGGATTACCATCGGCCAGGCACTCGAAGGCGGCGGGACTGAACAGCGGGGCGGTGGTGAGGCGATCCGGGCCAGCTGAAATAATTTTGGGCGGATCTGAGGAGGCAGAAATAACAGAGAGTTGGGTGAAAACTTTGTCCAAGGTAAATAGTCAGACCAGGATACGTACACTTTACGTCCAACTGCACCGACAGCTGCTCGGAGGTGCCCACCGAGTTCTGCGCCTGGCAGGTGTACAGTCCGGCATCCCGTCGCCCGACAGGACGCAATTGCAGAGTTTCCTGCCGGCGAAAAGTAGAGTAGAGTAGAGTAGAGAGGATACGATGCGGGGGCAATTTAATACAATTACAAATTTCAACTACACCCCAGATAAATACCCGGGAAGAGGGGAGCGGGAGGGGGCCTGGGAGCAACATAAACAAGACCGGGGTTCGTGGCTAAGCTCACCTGCAAGCTGGCAATCTCAGAGCGACCGGCTCGCCGCCAGACGATGCTGGCCGGCGGATTGGCATCGGCCACGCAGCGCAGGACGAGCGCGTCCTTGTCCTCCTCCAAGTCGATTTCCGGCGAGCCAATTAGACGGATGCTTGGCGCGTCTGGAAGGCAGGAGCAGAAACGGAGACGTTCAACATGGTTAGGCAAAACAAAAGCAAAAAAGCAGCAATAGGAACTGAGGCAGAAATAGCAACCGAAACAGAAGCACAAACAGCAGCAAATGGCAATAGCAATATTGCAGAGCAGACAGAGTCAACAAGCCCGGGCACCAGTCCTGCCTGGCTCCTGGCCACGTCCTCTGGGACAAGTCGACTTCTGAATTGCTCAGCAAAACAGGAAATTACAGCAAATTGTTGTTAATTTAATTGTTACAGCCCTGCATCTGCCTCAGATTCGGGTGCTGGTTTGGATTCAGACTGGGGTCTCTGATTGCCTGCTCCTTGGTTTGCTTTGAGCCAAATCAAATGATGGCACTTCGACGCCAGGATCAGGGCGTTGCAAGGATGCAGCTATATCAGAGTTTGCCCATCTTTAGACCCAGTATCACTCACATTTCACATCCAGCCGGGCATCCACCATTACGGATTTAGCCTGGTAGGACTCATGGTGGGCGACACACCGCAGCATGTCCCCGTGGCGCTCTCGCATCGCGGACACCTGCACCACCGAGGTGGCCGACCAGGTGCGCGGATTATCCGGCTCGGTGGCATTCATCTGCGGGTGCAAGGGGGAAATCTCCTGGTCGCCTGTGGGAGAGTGTGAGAGGGGGAGAAGTCGAAATTAATTAACGGATAACAACTGCAATTAAATGGATGACGGGGGAAAAAAAAACAATTGTAAAATACAAAAACTTAAATTTATAATTACGAAACTATTCTTTAGTGAACTTAAATTACTCAAATAATATCCTTCACTAATCTTTAGTTAATTCTTTAGATTTTGTAAATATCTTTAAAGACTTTCAATCCGTTGTTAATCCTTAAATTTAAGGAGTAAACTTGGACATTTTTTCGGATGTCCTTCAGCTGGAGACTTACCCAAATACCATTTGAGGGTGGCCGGCGGATTGCCGTAATGGGAGACGCACTTAACCGTCGCCACGGCGCCGGCGTCTGCGGTAATGTTGTGTCCCGGCGGCACGTGTACCGCCTCGTACTCGATCCTAGGCCGCTGTGGCGCGACTAAAAGCAAAAGGGGAAGGAATGTCCTTGGTCATTAGAGCTCCGGATTCGGACATGAGAGTGCATTGAGGGCACTTCGCATGACTCTCTTGGTCACTACTCACCACGTACGACGAGGCGCACCGGCTGACTGGTGAGAGCGTCCTGGGTGGTAAAGTCACTGGCCGTCACCTGGCACTCCCACAGACCGTCGTCGAAGTCTAGCGTGGCGGAGCGTATCCACAACGAGCAGTCGCCGCCTATTTGCACTGGCGGCGGATGGAGGTCCAGATGCAGGACATTCCCGTTGTCGCCCGTCGGCAGACGTGAGGCCCATTCGTATTTCTTCGTATAGATGCCAACGGGCTGGGAGGATGGAGGAATAGATTCAGTTAGTTACACATGGAGAAAAAAACTAATATAGATTAATTAATAGAGAAATGTTTGGATTAGATTGAACAATCAAAAGTACTTGAATAATTTAATTAGATATCAAATTGAGGTAGCTTTGAATAATTTAATCGGTTACGAAATCGGATTCAGGGTTATTTTCCTGTGTGCATTTCGAATCGAAGGCAAGGATATGAAATGGAGATGGAGATGGAAACGATGATGCTGATGGCGTTGAAATGAACTGGGCGTCGTCGACGACATGTTTAGCATGTTTAACTTTTCGATGCAGTCGGGCGTCTAATTTGGTCTCCGATTTGTCCAAACATACACACAGACAAGTGGACACCCGACACACCGGACACACAGAGGAGTCGGGCGGACAGCCCCGCCCACAGCTGCCCGACTCGCCCACCACTACGTGTCATTTAACTCCAATTCGAGTCGTCGTTCCGCAGTCGCTTCTGTCTGCAAATTGGCATTAGTTTGTTTGCTAATTGGAAATTAAATTACAATTAGTGATCTCTGAGCGTGGCAGCGTTCGTATTTAAGTATTTATGGGAAAACAGGGTCCAGACCCCGCCTCCTCCCCGTCCTGTCGCAGTGCCTGAATAAGAGCCGTCTAATTGCATTTCGGCTTTGACTGTTGTTGTCTGCGTTGTCCGTGGTGTAATGGGTTAAATTAATTGCAACACAGCATTTACTGCCTTTCCCCAGCATTCAAATTTATTGAAAGGAAACTTGAACCCAAAACCATACCGATTTTAGAGTTTAAATTTTGTTCGTAAAATGTGACAATATGAAACCAGACCACCTTGAGATAAGATCGTATATCTTGGCTTTATTAAACAGCTTGCGGCTGGCATGCCAGATATTATTTCATTTGATATTGCCGACCCTGGGCCAGCGTGGGTTAAATTCAGAGGACCAACAAAAATAGAAGCTGAATGGAGGAGAAGACCAAGACCTGCCAAACTGCCAGAAAAACTATTTCAGCTGGTTGATAAAAAAAACCAAATGGAACAAATATTTGGCTCTGGCCCATTGATGCTGCTGTTGATGCTGCCAAAACATTCTCGAATCGATATTCGTATCGGCATAATTCTCAGCATTCCCTCAGACTCCAAGTTGCATGCTGCATGCTGCATGCTGCAGGCAGCTATGTATATCGAAGGATGGATCTGCCGGGACCGGAGTTTGGGCCTCGGCATGCTCCGCATCGTTGAGTTTCGTTTTGTTTGCCTGGATAAAAGAGTGCGGCGCCCAAAAATTACATTTATTCAAATGGCTGAGCTTGGTCATATATGCAGGAGGGAAAGCAGAAAGGAAGGATTGTTGTTGATATCATACTTTGCTTTGAAATTATCGGCAAGTGCACTGCAAAGAAAACAGACACACAGGATAAGAGAGAGGGAGTGAGGCACGGACGGAATAGACAATTTTTTCCCTCCCAAAAATGTTTTGCCCAAATTAGAATGCAGCTCGGCAATGGACACAGGCTCCATACCAACTCGCTTTATAAATGTATATTCTTTTTTTTTGTGGGACAACCGCTTCGAAATGTCTCCTCTTATGATAACTACACGTAAAATATATGGACAGAACTATATACATATACCCAAATGGAGGAGGAAATTGGGAAACGTTAAGCGCACACGGACAGAACCAGAGTCAGAGCCATCGGAGTAAGTATGCAAAAATAAGAAGAATTTTAAATGGAACCCGAAACAGCAACATCAGCATGCGAGTGTCTGTGTGTGGAACGCTCGATGCATGCAAATGTAGTGTGTCCTGTCCCTCGTCCTGCGTCCTGCTTCGACTCGTTCGAGTGGAGACACAAAGCATGTAAACATTTAAGTATGTGATGCAAAGAGCGAGAGCCTGCGATGCGCAGCATATGAAAAGGGACATTTGAAATGCTTTCTGATTTTGTCATACAATGGCGTCGCCCTGGACCCAACCCCCACATCCGCATCCACATCCACATCCGGCACCGCCACCGGGTGCATTTGCATAAGAAACTACCACAACAAGTGGGTAGCGGAGACACCGCGGGGCTGGAGAGTTTGGCAAATAAAAGTTATGCTTCAAACGCACACAATTGCCATGAATAACAAACGGCAACGAAGGGAAATTCCCTTGCCAGCGGCCGGAGCTGATCCATAATGAGGCACTTTGGATTGGTATGCAAACGAAGTCACAGAAGGCAGGAGAGCCACAACATGCTCCACAATAACCATAACCAATGACCACAAAAGGACTTCTAATTCAAGGTGACCAAAGACCTTTAACTTTGCCTATTAAACTAAATAGAAACTCACTTTAAATAAATACTGAAATGGTTTAAGGAAACCATTTTTTCTAAAACGAATTAGTAATTACTTCATTATAAAATGAAGAGAGAATTAAATCTTGTTTTTAGAAATGTCAAAAAAATATATTTTAAGCTCACATTATTCAATTAACTCATGGAAATTGGTTCTGGGCAAAATAAAAGCTATAAAATATATATTTTTATAAACCTCTGGGAATTTACTATATGTCAACGTACAATTTTTTTAAATATCTAAAAATATACATAAATTGGCTTAGCAAATAGATCTTTTAACCTAAAAACCCCCTGCATTTATTTTTATAAAAAAATGTATACTGATACTGGTTTGGGATTTAACATGAAAAACAAAAGAGCAACAGGGAATTTAAAACAAATGTCACGCCGTATCAAAAAGTGGCCATGGAATGACAGCAGAAAGTAAATTAATTAAAACAAACAAAATGTATTTGTTTTTCTTTCTATTTTTTTCGTCAGAATCGACTGGCAAACACTCTCGCATTCTGTATAGGAAGGGGGCCTAACAGTATTTTCATGTTTGCGCTGGCATGAAATCCAATTGAGGAGCCCCTGCTCCTGCGCCTGCACCCCGCTCCCTCCCAGTCCGCTCCTGTCACGCACTTTCGATTAAAAGTTGCGCCGGCCAGCGTTCTAATCAACGGCGAACAAAGAAATGCTGTCTGGGGTCCTGTACCCATGTCCTGTGACTCCTGATGCCTATTCCTTGTCCCCGTGTCCCCCTTGTCCCCTGTTGTCCAGGGGGCAACTTTCATTATTGACTCGTCCCGGTCAGGGTGTAAATTACGTTCGCCACATGTGGAGGCCAAAAAGAACAACACTTAATTGAACCGCAGGACGCGCCACGAATATGATATGAGTTTGCTGTCGGCCAGGCCAGGACACGTCGGTGTGCGTGTCCTAGTATGTGGCTATTTGGTGTTTGGTGAGACTTTTGGCCAAGTTATGAGTTTAATCAAAATGTTTATAAACTAGGGCCATCGATGGATGGGCACAGTGAGCCGTTATAATTACCTTGTTATCCTTCTGCCAGGAGCACGTGCCGCGCTTGTCGATAACTTTGCATGTGAGCAGCGTATCCTGGGCGGGATTCACCTCCGTATACTTGGGCTGCTCCGAGAAGCGCTGGAAGGACTCGGTTCCTGCAAGAAAGAAATGTGGCGGTTAGACACTTGCCAAAGAACGGCAGAGAATGGGGAAGTGGAAAAGTGGAAAATGGGAAATGGAAAATGCTGGGTCGGGTCGGGTTGGTCTGTCATTAACATAAACTACTTCCGCTGCGCATGTAAGTATGCTACCATTCCGTAACCCTTCTATAAAATCACTCGCTGCATTTGTCACGCCCTCACACCCACACACCCGCACACTCGCACACTCGCACACACACACACACACTCTGACAACGCGGGCAATTATGAACGCTTCGCAGGATGGCGGCCATTTGCTTATCTTCACTTTACCCCCAGTGTGAGTGTTATGGGTGGGGTGCTTCTTTCATTATCATTTGGCGGCGTCGCCTTTCTTTTTTTATTTTATTTTCCTCTTTTTTTTGTACGCGCTGCGGAGAATTTATGTTAATTGCTGGCATGTTGAATATTTTCTCCGCACTTGCACTCAATTACTCCAATTACAGGTGGAAAATTACACGCGCTGCTTGCTCAAGATAATGGATGTGGGCCCCCGTGGGTTGCGGAAGGCGTGGCCCACAACTTTGGGTTGCCTAATGATAAGGGCGCCGTGAGTAAGGACCTTCTCACAAATTCCACTCCGAACAAACTACTTGGGGGATAAGACTTATGTTCGTTAGGACGTCATGAAATGTCCTCATTGGATATACGACATTTAATTAGATAAGCAAATGTATGATTAGATAGTCCAGGTTTATGCTTTCTTCAAGTTCAAGTAACTAGTATTATTTATTTATTTAAATATTCAATATCGAAATTGAAACTAAATGAACTTTGAAACTCTGAAAACTAACTTTCATTCATAGAGATATATTCTTTTTATTTATATTTAAAAATAGGTAATGCTGAAACAAGAGTCTTGTTTATTTGTAAATACAAATACTCTTAATGGACATGCATAGGCCAACTCTATAAATATTTATTCACTCTTCAGGTGAAAAGTCCTTGCTCAAAGTTTACCTATTTATTCTTAAATTTTCTCCTATATTTCGGCCAGCTTAAGGCAGTCAGTTGGGCAAAAGGCTCATGGCTTTGATAGCATTGCTTTACTTTTGCTTCGATGGCAGGAGGTCAAGGATTAAATGAAGCCTTTTGGCTTTTTAATTGCTGTTTGCGGAGCCAGTCCGCACTTGTCATCGCTCACAATGGGCCACCGCCGCTTTTCGGCTTTTGTTTGGCTGTCAACTTGTGCTTTTCATGCGTGCTTGGGGCATAAGGACGACGATGGCTAAAAAAAAAAAATGGCATTGGTTCGTTCGATTGCGTGCGTTGGCCACACGTGACTGCCGTTAGTCCGTCGAGTTACCGTCGATTTTCCGAGTTGGCTGCTTTTCCGCAAAACTCCCTAAAAGTATGCGTATGGGTGCACGGAAAACATTCGCTCACGCAATGATTTATTACGCGTGATTGGCGGGATTGCCACTTTGCTGCTGCCTTTGGTTACGCTTTTATCGGGCATTGTATAAATTGGCTTTGTATTTCAATTACACAGCCGAGCGTGCCGCATTCAGATACCTGAGAACAATTGCCGCTGCATTTTAAGTGGTGATTTGTGAGGCCTAAACTTGAAACACTGGGCGGGGCTGCTTAATTTCTGCGTGACCAAACAAGAGCCGCTCCACTTAATTGAAACGCATTGAAATGTAAAGAGACTTGCCCCCGCCAAAAAAAAAAAAACCGCTGGCAAATAAAAATAAAGCAATGCTCGAGCAGCGGCAAAAGTAAATAAAACAGAGAGAAGCCTATTTGCATGGTAAATAAAAAATATTAAAAATAAATAAGCAGGAGAAAAGGAAATTTGAACCGCAAAAGGAGGGGAGGCGGGAAACTTTGCCGACGCCCCTTTTGGCCAAGGCAAATAGACAAGGATCTGTAGCTAGCTGCGATTGCAGTTTTAGCTGCCTGCGAGTCCTGCTCCGGGATTCCCGGGTCCGCAGCTTCAAGTGCGTGCCGCTGAGTGCTGCTTACAGGATTGTTTCAGCTCTTACTGCTCCGGCTGCTCCTCCTCCAGCTTGTGCTCCTGCTGTTTGGCTCGTGCCGTGAAGTGGCGTTGTTGTTTAGCCAGGTCCTGTGTCCCGGCTCCGTCCACTCGTTTCTGGCCTCCTTCTCGTCCCTCTCTCTCTCTCATTCCTTGTTCTGAGAGCTTACGTGTCTGTGCACAGCCAGCCAGGATAACAATTACTCTAGTGGCATGTCTACAATCCTGTTTTTCGCTGGCTGCCAGCTATCTTGTTTGATGGGTTTCGAAGATACCCTGCATGGCACGATAACGTCCTTGTAGTTATCCATGTAGGTTTTAAATTTTAGAAAAGATAGCTGATGATATATTATATATATCTTCTCATTTTTAGCTACAAGACCTCACAGGAAGTAAGAATTATAACATATCCTTGATTCTGATTGCATATTTACAGTCTCTACAATTTATTGGCGCTTTAGATCGATTTACGTGCCTATTGAGTTTTATTATTTAAAGCTGTTTTGCTTTGTGGAGGGTACGATTTTCATTGATGTTGCGTATTTTCAATTGTTTAGCGGTTAAACGTTTTGAATGCCTGTTTAAATACATTTTTCAGTGTTCGTTTTCTCTTTCGCTCTCTCTCAGGCTTTGCACGCTGCGTGTGCCAGTTGAAATTTATAGTCCACCCGCTCCGCCCATTGCTCTCCACTTTCCACTTTTCCGCTTTTCCGGCTCTCGACGCTCTCGAATATGTCAGACGCACATTTTGGTGTACCGTCCCCGCTCCGTCATTCCTCCGGCTGTCTAGTGCCGAGCAGCTTTCCCTTCTGCTGCTGCTGGTGCTGTTTACTTTTGATGATGCATTGCAGCGTAATAATTTCACGTAGACGTCCACGGCACGCAACAAACGACAAATGGCCAGGGGAAAAGGAGCGAAGCTGGGTCTAGAGGGTCCAAAGGGTCCACGAGGTCGACTGGTCGCGGTCCGGCTCTTAGCATCTGGTCAGTTATAAAATGCTGTTTGGGCTTGGCGGCATTACTCATACGCAACGTGGTCCGGAGGTTTTTTCCTTCCTCAGTCGCTTAACTCTGCACAGGCACAGAAGCTGCGGAAAATTTAAGAACAAATTCCCAGTGGCAGTCGAGGGATTCACACACACACCTACTCCGCCCAGGGTATTCCCCATTCACCTCACTCACTTGGCCTTTGTCGGCAATCAATGAAAGCAATTTGCGAATCTCTTGTGCCATTCGGCGATATACAAAACGAGCTCAAGGACATGCACACAAACAGCAGGGAGGATGGATATATCCCGGGCAAGGTATTGGCAATTGCGATGAAAAATCTTGTATGCAAATCAAATATGCAAGATGATTTGTAAATTTTTGCCAAATGTATTATATAAAGCGCCCAATAGCAACAACAGCAAACGGAGAAAAGGGAAAAAAGGAGAGCCAGCCACAACAACAGGATTCTCTGGCTTAAACTTTTTAAACCTGTTCCGCATCATCGACCCAACCGCCGCCTTCTATCCCTTAGAAGGTGCTAAGCAAACATGCAAGCTGTGAGCTGTGAGGATTATAAAAACTGGCGACGAAAGGAGGCAGCAAAGGCGAAAAAAAGGATATCCCCGACAAACAGGCATCCCGGTCCCAGTTTCCCGGGAAAATCCCCATTCCAATCGTTTCTTTTGCCTCGCATGTTCGCATGTGCTAAGCTTTTTGCTTTCGCCAACGTTCTCGCACCACCCAACCCCAAATCGACCGACCGCCTACTTAGGCATAATGATATATTTAGCTTGCCAAGTGATTGTTATTTGATATTCAACAGATTTCTGCCAGACTTCGTGTCTCCCTTATCGGCCTTTGTTAAGGTTAAATCGATGCGTGCTTGTATTATTTCATAAGTTTGCAAAACACCCTTGAAAGCTGTGAGAAATTCGGGTTTAGTTTTGGGCCAACGTTGCGTATGCGTAACGCCTGTCCAGTCTGATGACTCGTATGGAAAGCGATTTGTAAACTAGCAAACAAAATCTCTCTTCACATGTCACCATACTGGATAGACAATGAACAACACGTTTTGTCGCTTACATTTTTCATATTTTCATAGCTCATTGACTGGCACGCGAAATGGCTTGGAACCGTTCAACCTGCTTGCCCCTGCTGCTGCCCCATTTGCCACTCTTGCCACATTTCCCACTCTGACTTGGCCCTGTTGTTTGACACTCAAAGTTTATGCATTTATTTGTAGCAGTGGCAGGCAGTGGAGCTGATTTATCGCATTGTACTCGCTTCCATTGTATTATTTGCGTCTGAGAGCCCCACTCGAGCCGGGTGGATTCATATGGCAGTCAAGTGGCCACTCGAATTTATGTATGTAATTTTTATATAATATGTAGGACCGCCTTCAACTGCAGTCGTCGCAAAGTTTCATTCGCCTTTATGGCCCACTTAGCACCATTAATGTCTATGGCCATCGATCACGAAACTAGGGGTTGCCCTTTAAATCCATTCTAGATCCCGAAATGAGTCGAGTGTTTTCCGAGCTGCCTAAATATGCAAACAGAGGGGGTTTTTCCACGGCAGGCTTATTCCCTTAACCTGTCGCATGCGAGGCAATTAGGAGCGGAAAGCGGTCTGACCACGCCAGGATTGCGATTGGACGATAGGGATCCCTATCGAAATTGTGACAAATATGCGGCACTAACAATTCATTTAGATAAATCGGACGGACAAATATAGGAGCCATTCGTGAGCCATAAATAAGCCAATTAAAAAGGGACCTATTGCCAAGACATAAGTAGAAGCGAAAGTTCAACTTTGTTGCAGCGGCAATCAGGACTACCATTCAGCCTACTGATTATGGGTCATGACAAACAATGACGGACAAGTTCCCGGCCAGACCTCGACCATCGACTTTGCTTATTAATTAAACTGATTAAATTGCACGTTGCGTGTGCCTGGCACTTTCATTGATTGGCCACCAATCACAGGCGTGCCGAGAATTTGCCTGAGCCTGGGACCAGTCACTTTGTCCAAATTAATACCTCCTGACTTGACTGTCCGAACTGTAATGCTGATAATCAGAGTTTGTAATAATAATAATAATCATAATCATACCGAAGGCTAACGCAAATTGAATTATTTCATTAGGGGGCCTTGACGATGTTTGACTTGGCTGCTGATTGAGTGGCTTCTCGATTGATTGGTTAGATGCACTTGCAGCAATTTCCAGCAGATTCCACCAACGAGCACAGTTTCGGAGTGAAAAGCTAAGCTCAGCTTGTTGGCATCACTCTAATATGCTAACGGGTTCTATTCTATAAAACGTGTCCCATTCGAAAAACCCCCTTCCCGGCTCACCGAACTTGGCCAGGACTTGAGCACGTTGTTCCCATCTCTCAGTGAGAACTCCGTCTCATCCCCGGGGCTCTGTTCACTTTGTTGCGCGTCTTTTGCAGGCACTTAATGCGCCGCTTCACCATGGAAAACAATGCACCGAGTGAGTACATGGCACACAGGACACTGACGCTGGCACAGACACTGTGCGCAGGCGAATTTCAGCACGGAAGCGGAAGTCATTGTTGTCGCACAATGGCGAACGCGTCGCAATTATAATAATTTTGATTGCACCACGCCACTCCCGTCGCCAGCTTGTTATGAACGGTGGTGCTGTGGTGGTGCAGGATACAGCCTGAATTATGCAGACTACCAGGCAGAAAGCCTTCGGGGGACGGGGACGGGGACGGAGGACGAACACACACACGTGCCTCGCTTTTTGTGTCTGCTCGCGTCGCTTTTATGGATCTTTTTTAATTACGAGTGCTAGACGACATCCTCAAATGGAAGTGGCAAAAAAGTGAGCCCGGTGAGTTGAGCTACTCCCGCCTCGCACAGCATCGAGCATCTGCAGAATGGCAGGATAACGGCCATCTCATGTTTGTTGGCAATACCCAACTAATTAGCTACACAAATAAGCAATTAAGTGGGAGGGGCGGCAGTTGGTGGTCACTTAATTACACAAATTATTTGCCGCAAAAACCTCAAGCTCTCCAGCTTCGACTGGAGTGCACTCGAGGACATCGTGCAGCTAACAAAGCAGTCCCCATGTAACTGGGAGATGTGTGTGTGAACGACTTGGTCCTTGGTCAGCAGTTTGACCATCAGAAAGAAGGGGAAAACAATTTTCTTGAAAGCTTTGATTTGACTAAGTAAACTGGAAGATCCTGGAGAGAACGAGCGAAGGAGCTGGTAGCCGGGAAAGGATGGATACAGCAGAAAGAAGACAACTATCATTTGCTTTTAATTTGACTCGAGGGCGTAATTAAAGAAAAATGCCAAGGCAAGCCAAAGTCCTTTGATTGTCAGTCCGGGGCCTCCGGTTGCCTCCTTGCCAGTCTCGAGCTTCTCGAGTCGGCAGGAAATGCAAATCAGGACAGGACCCACTCCACTCCACGGCGGAGAAACAAACACGAAGCCCAGAAGGATTTGGCAGCATCAGGGAAGGAGAGAGAGAGAGTAAGAGCGAAAGCAAAGAGAAGCCCCGTAATACGTTAATTGTTTTAAGAAAACAGGCTGAGACTGCATGTCTTAAAGGACATAAATCCCGTTTAACCTGACGCTGCAAAGCCAGACACATTGGCATCGCAGAGCAGAGTGGAGGAGCTGGCACAGTCCTCCAGCTAGCACATAAATTTTGCTCCTTTATTCCAGTTGCATAACATGTCCTGCGACACCGACAAAAAAAAAAAGGAACACTGTGAAACCACCCGAAGACAGACCGACAGACGTGTTATATATAACAGCAACTTTTGCTGCTGACTTGACTAGAGAGATGCCAGTGAGACAGGATCGAATGGTTTCTACTTTTTACTACACAAAATGTAGGATTATTAAATGAAGGATTAAGTAATAATTAAAGAGGGTCAGTCAGTTATAATTACAAAGCTCAATCTATCAGAGTTTATACTTTAAATCATGACAATAGAAAGAAAGGAATCCACAATTATTATATGCTATATTCCGATTTAATTTTAAACCATTTAAGGAGGCTCAATGCCAAGTTGGCCGTAGGCTAAGCATACCCTGGTTTTAGTTAGATGTAATGTGAATGTGTTAAAAAAAAGTGCCAAAAAACTAACAAGTTAAAAGAAGCGAGGCGGACTGATGGGGAGGACATGGCCAGGACTTGCAGCAGCAGCAGACGAAGTTATGCAAACTCAGCAGAGGACATTGACATGCGAGGAAGTCCTTGTGTGTGTATGTGAGTGTGATTCAATTTGCAGTTGTGACACTGCAGCCAGGAGCAGAATTGCCCGCACCAAGGACATACAGTCGAATTGCCATATTTCATCTATGACTTTTATGACTTTTTACTTTATTTTTATCTATTTTTTTTGTGGAGTCAGAGTTGAAGTTTTCACAGCACACTCCATGAACTCTCTCCCGCACGTTCTAGCCGGATTTCTAAGCGAGATTCGCTTCGATATCACCAACGCACTGGGTGAAGTAATCCCTGGCCAATCGGCATTCCGCGCTGTCCACGTAGAACCGACCGGGACATTTTTGCATCGCGTGGATTCGCACACAGATGGTGAGCTGCTGGGCGAAGGGATTGCAGGATTCCTCGATGAAATCGATATCGGGCAGGTGCAGAGTGAACCGACCGCCGTGCAGCGATCGAAATATTTCGCATTTGTTGTACGCATCCACCATGAAGGGAATCGATTCCAGCTGCGGTTGTGGCATGATGGTCTTTAGATTGATCCGGATGTTGGCCAGATCTAATCGATAAGGTGGATCGACTTCAATGTAGCCAGAGCTGATGTAGTTGCACTCCTCGATGCACTATTTTGGAGATGGTTTACTATCAGGGTCGATTTCTTCTTCTCTGCTTACCATATTGATCGTGTAGAGTTCGGCAAAGCTGAATTTTCGATGATTGGGCAAGTTAAGGGACCTCCGGCACTCGGTTAATCCTTTGTCCAAACTGGGACGTGTTAATTGACAGCATTTGATGGATAGGTCCTACTGGCATACGTGTTAGTAGTAGCCTTGACTAGATTTTTGTTACGTACTGCGGCTTTCTTTCTCTCCGACTTGCAGTCAATTTGGCAGTTTATCAATGTATAGAAATAGAGCAATAGCTAGGATAGGAATTCTTATATATCCTTGATTAATAGCTATATATATTTCTTTGACTTACAAACAGAAATAGAACCAGCGAATGGTGTGACATTTTAAAATCAACTGATTCCCAAAGTTTGCCTCAAATGAGTCGCAACATTTCACAATACAAAATAGGCTTAATTAAGCACAGTGAGTGACATTAATTATTAAGTGGCGTTTTTGACGCTTCCGTGAACACCTCGGTGCAGAAAAAAAACCCTCTCTCTATGAAACATTCATGTGTTTCGCTGACAAAAGTGCAATCCAATACGGATCAGCCGCAGGACGTCTTGATTAATTGCGTTGGCACGCCATCAGATTACGTATACGTCACGTTGGCCGCCTCAAGGTCGCACCCCGTGGCTCACAGTGAGTTAATAAATTGTTTGGCGTTGTTAACTAAATTTTGATTACGGTACGCGTGCAGAGGGAAGGGCGCAAAGGGGGCGTGGCTCCACCGACACTCTTTCCTTGATTTATTGATATGCTAATTGAGTATTTGCACGTTGCTTGCCTTTTTGGCTTCGTCCTTTTTTAATGGCTCGAAAAGGAGTGCGTCGTGGGGTGTGTGTATGTATGTGTGTTTCGTTGGCCATTGGAAGTTATGAGCCATGGCACGCCATTTGCATGGCAGCGTGTTGTTCAAATTAATTGTAAATGGTTGTAATTTGCTGTTGCCGCCATCGCTGGCGGTCGGTTCGCTTTTCGCTTTTACAGTTTAATTGCAGCTCAAAGGGGGCGGTAGAGCCGCGAACTTGGACCTTCGAGAGAGCGACGGTGGGCCAGGCTTAATTAATTTATGGCCATGGCCCAGTGTCTCTCTCCCCCAGTCCCCCGGTTAAATACCCGTCATTTGAAGTTTGAGCGTGTTTAACGTGACGTATGAGTGATTTATGTTGATGGAGTGCACATTAAGCGATGTTGAGGCAGTTAAACTGCCAAAGGGTCATCAATTGAGTTGATGTGCAAGGACTTAAGTCGAGGCCGTGGCCATCTCAACCCTCGGTACCCACCTCAGCATTGTTGCGTGCCCACAAATGTCCTTGTAAGGATCCTCCCCCAACCGTTTCCCTCTCTGTCTGGAAGCGGCTTAGTTCGCTTTGTGAAATGGCAACGGCAACATAAATAACATGCTTAATACCTTTTATATATGTATATATAAATATATTGAAGATTTTTGTGAATAAATGACAAAGCAAATATTAAAGCAGATACAAAAACACACACACACAGCTCATGTATAGGTTGTATTGCCACACTTCAGGGACTTTTTGTGGCATAATTACTTAAATACAAGTGGGATATATTAAGGCTTCTGTGTTCCTGATTTTTGTTGCCAGGCTTGGTTGCTTCCTAATGAAATTATTATGCCCATGCGTTACACTCTTTCCTAAGAGCACACTCACTGTATGTCACATGTGTATAAATATTACCTAAAATATACTTTAAATATGTATTTAAAACATTTTAAATGTTGTTTTAAATTGTATTTAAAAGCCACCGAAATTGGAGTTATTTAGTATTATCAAACTTTTATTCGTTGGTTAGAGTATTAAGCGTACGTCATTCTATACCACACTTTCTCTCCCCCCCAAGTGCTGGTTAGTTTTGCACGCAATTTAATTATATTTACTGGATTCCCCCCATCGCCACCAAGCGACCCTGCTGTCTGTGCGTCGAAATTAGTAGGAAATTGTTAATGCGATAACAGATTTTCCCAGAGAGTGTGTGCACCATGTAAAGCTTCTTTTGGCTCCGGTTGCCTGGTATCCGTGCACATGCCAGAGAGGCAGGGGGGGAAAAAAAAGAAGGGAAGTGCTGGTATTTATATTGTGCCAAAACAGATTTAAGGTAAGTCGGACTTTAAGCGAAACAGCCCGAGGGGTTGGAAGCGTGGCACATAAATCGCTGGCAGCTCGGAGGCAAGTGGAGCTCGAACACACGTTAGCAAGTGAGAAATTCCATTGAAAATGCATTTGTGGCCAACGTTGTGGTTGCCTAGAAGGCGGATGTGGATGGGGAGGATTTCAGGATTTGGTTGGCAGCTAAATTAAAGACGCAACTCACGTGGTTATTTCTGGCCGAAAAGCGAAGGGGAAGCGGAGGAAGAAGCTGTCGCTATTGCCCCGCACATAAATCAGTTTTAAATGCGAATAAATAAATTGGGCAGCAGGTGGTGGGCGGGCGGGCGGATGGGCGGTAGGGCGTTGCAGTCTGCGGCTGGGCGAGGTCACGGTCTACTCTGCACCGCAAGCACAACTCCCAGCTTAATCCAAACACTTCGTTTTGACAATTTATGCGCCCGACTGACTTGCCACGAGGCCAAGGGAAAAGCGGACGGAAGCGCATGTGTCGCCATGTTTGTCTTGTATCTTGGCTGCTAAACAGGGCACTTGGTTATTTATTTAAGCCCGAAATGCACTGAACGAAATTTAGGAGAGTAGTAAGGGGAATATTCAGTATTTTGGGTAATTCCGACAGTTCGAATTTGGTAGAGCTTGAAGCGTTTACTGCCTTGAAAATTCCTAAATAAACCATAATAAGTTTAATAGATAGTTGTGCTATTAAAATACCACTCAAACTCAAGGACTTTCATTTAGTAATATGAATACAAACTAATATTATGACCTTCTGGCTCTTATATCAAGTCTCAGCTATTAAAAATCATTCTGCTTTGTGTACGCTACCCCCAATGGCTCACTCCTCACCCTTCAGTTCCCTCTTTCATCCATTTTTGGGCGCGTTTAATCAAAGGGATTTTCGCTGCAAAATTTAACTAATTTACTTTGTTACCATTTTGCTTTTTTTTTTTCTTTTTTTTGGCAGTACAATATTTGCTTTTCCTACGCCGCAGCGGAGCATCCAACGGGCCTTATTGAAATTTCATAGTCTAATTTTGGGCGCAAATTAAATTTTAATTACATGCCTTCTCCCAGGACTTTTCCCTTTCCCCTTGCCCCTCCTGCTCCTGTTCCTGGCTTGCTTTTTGCAGCTCGATTGGCTTAATTGGAAACGCTCTCCGCACGTACCGAGTGCGAGTTAGTGTGCGCCCCGCGCGTGTGTGTGCGAGTGTGTGTGGGCAGGCACTTTGATGCCTTTGACAACATTTGTGTTGGGTCCCGGAACGCGTCATTAATTTTTAACCCTTGCCCTGGCCATATTTTCACTCGTTGGTAACGAGATTAAGCCATTTCCTGCTGCCACGCAGAAATTTTTGGGTGTCCCTGACGATATTCGGAAAATATACGAAATACGAGTACGAATATATATGCTGCAGGACATTCGTCCGCAGAGCAACGAAATTATGCGGTTTTGCTACCTCAATGGCAACTAATCAGGGAAACATGAAACTTATTCATTCGAATTCGGTTTCGAAGTTGCCTTTCATCATATTCCATCAACTTTGAAATTAAAAAATTCCCTCAGTCAGACAGATATTGAATATACTTTCATCTGGGGGAATGCAGTAATTGGATCTCCTCACCGACTGCACATGCCCCGTTCTCATTAGCCAGCATTGCTTTTAATCAACTTTCTTATTGAATTAAACAAATTTGTTTCTAATTTGGGGCACCGAATCCAAAGCACACACATGGCTAGCTGGCTGGAACCCCAGCTCGACCAAATCGACAGTGGATCATATTTGCCAGGAGCAGAAGCAGCAGCAGCAGCAGCAGTGACAGGACCTGCCATTTGGTCTATTTGCATAGCAGGCAGCTGCTTTCAGGGGGGACACATAGCAGCAGCTGAAGGGACTGCAGACAAACGAACTTCATCAGCAAATTAAATCTTTACTCTGGTGCCTTGCCAACCAAACAGGACATCGAGGGGCAGTAGTCGTGTCCTGCATTTCAACGTGATATTCGTACTCCCGGTGACAGTTGCACATTTTCCCCCAGTGTGCCACTCATAATTACAGCCAAATGTCAGCTGCACTTCATTAAATCCGCAGCAAAGCAGAATAAAAAAAAAAGGACAAACGGGAAATTATATGACAGGGCGGAAGTAAATATGTACAGTTTTTTTTTTCCCCAGCTCTCGACTAATGAATTTCAATAAAAGTTTTCCACTTTTCCGCTGGCGCCATTGTTGAGCGATCTATCACGCACTTTTTACCCGCTTCCGCCACCGCTCGCCACCCCCTTTGTTGACATTGACAAGTTGGCAGGCGAAGCGAAATGCAATCAATATCCAATATTTACATGTATTCCACTCGGGGAGGGTGAAATTGAAATGCAGCTGCAACATAAAATAGATGTCAGTTGTGCTGGAACTGACAACAAAACAAATTGAGGGGAAAATGCACCGCAGCTCGGGCGGAATTGGACAGGATCGGGGAAATGGATAGATAAGGCCACCCACCATCGGCAGCAGCACCACCCTCACCCGCATAATGGTGATCAGTGTTTGCAATCATTTTGTGCCACTCAATCCGGCCTACAGCTGACCCCCCTGTGATCCCCCTGAACTCTGACCCAAACACGTGTCCGTTGGTAACTTAACTGAGGGCCAGGCCAAGGGCTGGGAATTACGCAGAAAAAAGCGCCCGCCACCTTCACAACTATGAAACAGCTTCAACATAAAATTTTACGAGTCGTTTACACAAATAGCAACACTGTTGCCAATAAACGCCGGCCCTCGTCCTTCCTATTTTCAGTTACCATACCTTTCCCAGGCTCCCAGGCTCCCCTTCTGCAACACCCTTTGCCCAGGCCACTTGGACACCTCGCACACACCCGAAAAAAGAGTTCGTTTTTGCAATTTTTATATTGTTCCAAAATGTTTTCGTTTCAACGCTTTTATATTTATTTTGCGCACAGCAAAAAATGGGTTTTGTAGCTGGCCCTCGTCCTGTGCAAGGCAATGCATTGCCATTGTTAAAGGGCGTGGGGCGAGAGGTGAGGGCGAGGGTGGGTGAGGGTGAGTACCAGAGTGTGTGTGCGCGTGTTGTGTTTGCTAAAATAATGGATTTTTATGCGCATTTGTTTGCACGATGTCGGCGACGGAAGTGGCGGCAGAGGTTGAAATCGAGGGGGGGAAAAATGGGGGCGGCAATGGGATGGCTTTGTTCTCGGCGGCGCACTCGCGAAAATGATTGGGAAAATCAGTAAAGTGAAACAGGACGAAAAGAAATTGAAGATGTGTCAATAGCAAAACGACGAGGAAATACGCTTGCGAACAAGAGTTTTTCAAAAAAAATTCAGGGATATGGGATTGAAAAGAAACAACATTTGAGAATGTGTTTACAATGAGAAATAAAATTGATATAGATATATGTATATATAAATATAATGATATTAAATTCAAATTCCAACTAACATTTAAATTTACAGGTTCTTGATCTTCTTCATCAACGGAAAGGTGAGCTAAACCATCAACAAAATAAAAAGATAGCAAAATATAATATATTCCCAACTATTTACCAACTTGAAAGTTTTAAATTTAAAGATATTCACCAACTTTCTGAAGTAGCAAACACTCCCAAAGTATTCTCTACAAACCAGAGAGTGAGTACAAATTGTACGAGGAAGCGTGGTAAAAATTCATACAGATGAATCATGTCCTCGTGGGTCCTTGAATGTGCATGGACGCGTGATTGTGTGTGTGGGTGTGTGTGCTTGTGTGTGGGTGCGGCGGCAAACAATTGAATGCTTATAGCATTGACTTTTGATTGGCATTATGGACGGAATGGCGGAATGACTACAAGAGCCAAGGGAACCCACCAGACAATGGGCGTAGAGTAACAGGGCAATTAAATATTACGCATACGCACCGTTGTAGCCACTTGAAACAGGGAAAACAGAGGTGCTTGATAGAGCGGGTCAGCGGGAAACTGAAGCAACCTTGAGGTGACACTTTTATCAGGAAGCGAAATGGAAATGCAGGTGAAAGTGCAGCCGGGAAATGCAGGGCACGAGTGCACCGACTAAGCGCGAGCCATGCAAATATTTGCCGGGTAAAAACAAGAGAGCAGCAAATGAAAATGGCAAACAACAAGTGAAGCGGCAAGTAGAGTGGTAAGTGGGAAGTGAAGGTCGGTGGGTGGTGGGCGGCGGGCGATGGGTGGGGATTAAGGGCTGCACTCGCTGTTAACACTCAGTTCCGAAATGCGCTCACGTAGCGGGTTGAATGTGAAAATAAACTTCAGACGAGGGAAGGAGCAGCAGCAAGGAGCTTGGGAAACTTACGTGTAAGCTCAGTTGACTTAAGCCAGGATCTTTATTTCAAGTATAGGTGACGGGGATGCGGGATTCGTGGGATTGGGGCCAGATTTGTTAGCAGGTTTTTTTTATTTTATGTTTTGCTTTTGCTTCACAACCGATTGCAAGAAATTCGGAAACGAAAATCCTCCTTTTTTGGGGGATGGGAGCAACGACCGCAGATCATAAAATATTATTTTATGGGCATCTCGACGGCTGCTGTTGCTGCTCATAGACATAGGGCCCAAAGTGATAACGGTGCGCACTCCCACACACACACACACACCCCCCTAACAATAAACTACAAATGGCTGCCCAGCACATAAAAGGCATCCTTGCAAGTGTATGTGTGTGTGTGCAAACACATATACAGACTTGAAACCCGTTCACGTCCTCACTTTTTGGCATTTTTAGCGTTACCTTTTTTTGTAGCAAAACCCCTTTGCTTTTCCCCGTCCCCAGTTGCCTTTGTCAACGATGCCGTTTTGTGCGGCTTTCACCTAGTTTAACTCTCTCTACCCGCCTCACTTTGCTGCTGTGTTAATAGTTTGCCTGGGAGGAGGAGTCCCAGTTCTAGCCCCATCGTTTTCTTTCATTTTTTCCACTTTTTATGGGAAATTCGTTCGCGAGCTCCTTTCGCTGGCTTTCCATTCGCCCCGTTGCTACAACAAAGCAACCCATCTCGCTCCTGCAAGTGTATATATACACACACATATATCCAGGACTCCTTTTCATTCGTACGTCACAGTTTGTTGTTGCCATTACTTTTATTATTTTTATTTTCTTGACATTCTTAGTGTAAGCCAGGAGAGAGGGGCCTCCCCTGGCAGTGCGTTTGTGTCATTTTGTCACATAGTTTTCGTGTTTTATTTAGCCATGTCTGACAAGTCGATGTCCTTGTTGGGGCCCACCTCCAGCTCCAAGTGCCAGCTCCAGAGCTCCATACTTTACGGTCTGCCCCCGATGGCAACTTCATCCTTTACAACTTTGTGACTGCTCGGTGGCTCGGTGGCTAACGCACCTCACTCATATTTTTTATGGCTCTGCTGGCGTGCTGGCCTGCTGGAGATATCCCCTATCTAGGGGATAGTACCGCCACAAACGCCCAGTTTTTAATTACTTATCAAGTTTTAAATGCCCGCTTTTCACAGCCAACTGCCTTTTATTGGATGGACATTCGGTTCGCATTGTTTGTCTCGTTTTATGTCCTGGCCGGTTATGCTCTGCTGCGCACTCCGTCATAAAATTATTTATGTCCTTTGGCGTAAAATAGCTTTTCGAATGGGCTTACTCTGGCCGACTGTCCGCGATTACGGCTGCCGTTTCTCCGCCTAATTAAATGTTAATTTCAATTGATTGTCCTGATTTCGCAGTGGCAGAGAGGAAAACTGGGTGGGGAAAACTCGGCCAACAAGTTGCTCTACGCACGGTGTAGGACGGCTCAAAGTCCTTCAGAGTGCTTGTAGTATTCTAGTTCTTGGCAAGGACATGTCGTAGTTGCAGTCAAGTTGTATTTAAAAGGATTATGCACTCGTGTGTGGCACTCAGACCGGCTCCGGCTCCGGCTCCGTGCCGGAAATGCATTGTAAGCAGTCGCCGGCTGCTTTTCTCTTCGCTGCTAAGATAAATTGCCACTCAAGTGCAAAACAATTGAACTGACAGTCGAGGAGTGCACAGTGAGAAATGAAGCATAACAATGGGGATATTTTTAACTATTTTCTAAAGAAACTGAATCCTAAACTTTGCATGTAAATAACCCATTTAAAAAGCCACAAACTAACTTTAGCTTCTAATCAATATTTGATGGGAATTCGTTAAATGAATAAACCATTTGCAGAACAACCAACTTCAATTTCAACTGAAACCATAAGATATTTATTCTCCGTGCAGGAGAGCGAATCTGAAGCTGCGACATCTTGTTGAAGGTGAAGTGGAGTCGCGAGGAAAACAACGGCAACGGGTGATGGGGAAAAACAATTGCAGTACGATAAACTTTATTGAAAAACATTTTAAATGTATAGAAGTTTGTTTGGCCCTCGTTTCAGCCCTGACCCTTTTGGCAGAACTCTCTAGCTCCCGCTCCAGCTCTCGCAGTGCCCCGGAGGAGCAAGTTTGCGAGCTGGAACCGGGCGACATTATTCATCAGCTTGTCACACACATGCTATGCCAAAGGACTTTGCCGGAGACGGTTGTGTCCTCTGATTGGCCAGATCTCAGATCCCTATTGGAGTAACTGGCCACATTTCCCATTTCCCATTTGGTTATTTCCATTGGAATTGGAAATCTTTGGCTTGCAGCTTGGTCTTGATGTATAATTTAATTTGATTTGAATTCCATGCGGTTTTTTAGTTTCTGCTGACTTTTAGCATTTGTCCTGGCCCTGGCGCAATTTTGATTAAATTAATTTGTGCAAATGTAGCACTTTTGTGCTGTCTGCCATGGAATTTAATTTATGTTTGTCGCTTTTCCGAATCCTGTTATTTTCGATGCTCATAAATTTTTCCGTTTCACCATCTGCATTCATTATTTATGTGCAGACGCTGGACAACATTGTCTTACCTAGTGCCGGTCTTCTACTTCCCCTTCGTGTGATTGTGTGGCAATTTGTAGGCCGAATCAAATGCCGATCAACATGAACTACTTTCCGATTTACATGCAGGACACTCGGCTAATCCGGCTGCCGTCTGTGTCCTCTTTTGCCTCTCTTCCACTTTTCCATTCCCAACCAACCCCACATTTGCATTGTGCCCCAGAGTTTCTTCATCTGTATGCCCCTGTGGTTGATACTCTTCCAGTTGGCAGTTACCAACTGGCGGTTGCGGCACTGGTTTCAATTTTTGTGTGTTTTTCCTTGGCCTCTCTCCCTTGTTGGCATGGCATTTGGCCAATTGTGTGGCATCGGAACCTGCTGAGTGGGGACAAACAACACAGAGCCAGGCAGTCAGACAGACAGACAGGACGTGGGCTCTCGGTGCCTTTATTGTTATTCCTTGTAACAACAACGGCCCAAGGAGAAGTTTGTTTGTCAGCCGGAATCCCCATCGAAATGCACGTCGAAAAAGCTATTCCCGTACTCTCTCTCTATTGCTTCCTTATGTAACCCCACTTCCCGAAGACATTAATAAGGCAAAGATAAACTAACCGAAAAGAGCATTAAAATTTACTTACTGACTTAACCGACCATAAACACAA